GTTCGGAAGCAGATTTCAGGAAGGGCAGGTGAAACTGCACACAGACGAACTCAATGGGTGTTTGAATCTGTCTGCTCTGGCCCCTGGAAATGCTTGCATTTTCTCGTGTTTTGCACAGAGAACAGACCCTGCCCCCACTGTCCTCACTGTCAGGGAGCTCAGCAGCAGCCTCCCCCTCACCTCCACTTTGTTCTAGACGTGAAGTTCCCTACAGGCATCTAAAACCAACTCCTTGTTCCAGGAATATTTCACGCCTCCTTCCAAATCTACTCCCGTCTTCCGCTGGTTTTCTGACTGGCTTCCTTCCAACGATCCTGCCCAGCTGCATCTGCCCTAAGGGGCCCAGGATGTCCATGGGGGGCTTCAATGGCCTTCTCCACCTTCATGTCAAATTCTTATCTTTCAGGAGAAAGCTGCTTTCTGATGTGAAAATACTGTGACCCTCACCAGGCAGCTTGCCTGAAAGCACTGCTATCTTTCTTCTTGAAGAGTTGAGGAAAATTCCGTTTGGAAAAGTAAACACCAAAAAAAAAAAAAAAAAAAAAACCTTTTTTTGCCCTTTTTTTTTTTTTTTTTTTTTTGAGATTGAGTTTCGCTCTTGTCACCCAGGCTGGAGTGCAGTGGCGCAATCTCCTCACACTGCAATCTCCACCTCCCAGGTTCAAGTGATTCTCCTGCCTCAGCCTCCCAAGTAGGTGGGATTACAGGTGTGTGCCAGCAAACCCAGCTAATTTTTTTTATTTCTGTTTTTTGTATTTTTAGTAGAGATGGGGGTTTCACCATGTTGGCCAGGATGGTCTTGATCTTCTGACCTTATGATCCGCCCGCCTTAGACTCCCAAAGTGCTGGGATTACAGGCATGAGCCACTGCGCCCAGCCTATGCCCTACTTTTTATACTAAAACCAGAGTTTAGTCTCTACTCACTCATAAGGTGCCCTCCCCACCCAAAGCTGGTGTGTGCCCTGTGATGGGCAGGCATGAAGATGATGGTGCCCCTACCATGTGCCACCCAAGGAAACAGGGAGGAGGAAGTTAAGAGGGAAAAAAAAGTTCCTTTTATTTGAGATCATGGCATAATTTGGGTGTCCGTGTACGCTGACAGCGTAACGTGGAGTTTAAACTCCAATTCAATTTCCAGCACGGAGTCCTGCAACCGCCTCTTTAAAACGCCTTTGGGGAGGAATGGTCAAAGGATTGGGAAACGCGTCCCAGGCCAGAGGGGAGTGAGGGCAGGGGAAGGCCATGGGAGGATGACAAGGTGGAAACAAGATGCCTGCCGGGAAGCAGTATCCTGGGCAGACGTTGAAAAGAGACGCTAGGTCAGCCGGGGAGGCTGCTGGCATCTGAAACCAGAGCTCTGCATGGAAGTCTTTGCTGGGGCGGGGACTCACGGCGTACTCCACGGGCAGAGCATGTAACAGGAGGGGACTCCTGTTAAATGGTGGCCTCGGAAGATAAAGCGGCTTGGCGAGATGACACTGAAACCCAGACATGCACAGGACGCTGCGGGAAAAGGGCTCCGGTGTGCAGCAGGCTTCTCCTGATGCAGTCACTGCGCCTCACACCATGGTCATGACCTTCAGGGCCGTCGGCTGGAACCTACGGATCTTCTTCTTCAGGGCCTTGGAGGCCTTAATACGGCACAGCTTGGGCACGGGGGACAGGAGTGGCCCCGAGCTGACCGGGACCTCCTGGGTCCAGGTCAGCTCCGTGTGCCCGGCCGCCACATAGCCCAGTGCCAGGTCACAGTCCCTGCTCTGGATGCCGCCCTCCTCGTCGCTGCTGCTGGATTCATGATCTCCGAATCGGTTGGTGGTGTGGTCACTGGACTCCCCCTCGCTGGTCTCCGGGATGACTGAGGGGAACCTCGGGTCACACTCGGCCGAGTGCTTGGAGGGCTCTGAGTTGCTCCTGGTCTGGGCGTCCTGGCGGACCAGCAAGGGCCGGCCCCGGGCCTGTGGGCCACCTGCTCTTCTGGCCACGGGCCTGGGGGGCCCCAGGTTAGACTCGGGACAGCTGGCCAGGCGGGCCCGGGCTGAGATCTCCATGGTGGACTGCCAGCGGCGATGCTTCCTCCTGGCCACCGAGGTAAGCAGTGCTGCCTCAAAGGGGAACAGGGCTTGGGCTGAGGTCCGGTGGCCCTCCTGCGGGGCCACCGCCACGGGGACGAGGACAGGCATGGGGTAGAGGGTAGACTCGGAACAGGAGCGCCCGGGTGCTTCCCAGGCCAGGGCCGGCCTCCGCGGGAGCCCACCCCTCCCTGGGGACCAGTGGGCCGGGTCCCACTCCAGGGATGGCTGGGGGGCTGCATGGGCTCCCTCAGGCCTCTCCAGTAGAAGCGGCGGCTGCCTCGCAAACCTCAGCACCTTGTCTGTGGGCCTTCTCTTGATTTTTTCGGCCTTGCTCTTGGGGGGACCCATTTTCAGACTGGAAGCAAAGGACGGGTGGGCAAAGTGCCCAGAGGCCGGTGAGGGGCTGTTGTCCAGCATCCTGGATGGGGATATGACGTTGCCTCGTCCACAGTCCTGAGCTGGGGGTGTCTGCTGGGCCTTCAAGCTGGGAGAGGGCCACGCCATGGTCTCCCTGAGGACACAGCTGTTCGAGGGCTTGGAGCCCTCCTCTGGAAGGTTGCCAGGGTGCTGGGGACCCTCAAGAGGCATGGATCCCTGCTGCTGGGGGCCCCTGCCGGCACCTCTGCTCTGAGCTGGCCCTCCTTCATCCTCCCTCCCTGGGGCGAAGACCAATAGTCGCCCTCCACCATCTGTACTCCAGCCACCTTGCCTCTGTGGGGATGGGGATGCTGCATGCCTTAGAGGTCCCTGTTCTCCCCCGCTACCCTTTGCTGGGGTCTCCCGGCCCCACAGACGCAGCAGCCTGTCGATATAGGCTCTGGCTCTGGCCGGACCAGCCTCGAGGACCGGCCCAGTCTGGATGGTGTTCAGACCTGCGGGGCCTAGGGAGGTCTCCCTGGGGAACGAGGGACCACCGCTCTGTGGGGTTTCCTTAGCCAGGGCAAACAGGGGGCTCTGCAGAGCCACAGCGTGCAGGGGGCTGGGGTACGGGTACATCTCCCTGCCGCCCTGGGACACCAGGTCTTGCCGATACTTGGGGTCTGGCATGTGCAGCGGGATGTCCACCCCCTGGCAGAGGAGCCCGAGGAGCTCAGCATCGGCGCTGGCTTTCTGGGGCCCCGTGTCTGCCAGCAGGGCTCTGTCAAGATCACCTAGGAACGAGAAAAATGAACAAACACGTGACACGGAGAGGATTTCGTGTGCTGTTGATTTCACTTCATGCATGAAATGCAGCCAGGAAGGAAGCGCTGCTCATTCACTGCTTGGAGGAACTCCTGGGTCCCACGGGAGACGGCGACTCCAGTCACCGGGGTCCGCATCTAGGCACGGCGGGGCCCCATCTGCATCTAGACAGAGGGCACAGGGCCCCGTCTGCGTCTAGACACAGGGTGCGGGGCCCTGTTTGCGCCTGCGGCACAGCCCCCTCAGCTCATTCTCATCCTTCCCCTTGAAGGAGAACGCATAGGGAGTAAGAGTCCTCAGTTCAGCGCCCTCATTTCCCTGAAGGCTTGGAGGCTGAAGAGGCCCCGCAGCGGTGGATGGAGCCCGGAGGGAGGCCAGGGGCATGAAGCTAGTCCCTGCAGATGCCCTGGAGGAAACCACGGGGCTTCTCAGTAAGAAAAGACCAAATGGTTGTTACTAAACCAGGCCTTGTATTAGAAATAAAACAAGGCCAAAAATGACATCTGTGCCTTTGGAGACAGTCTGAAGACAACTACAGCCCCTCCCGGGCCAGGGGGTGGGATCCAGGCATGAGCCCTGTTTTCTCCCCACCAGCGCCTTCAACCCCGCTGTCCCTCCAAACACCAGTGGATCTAGGGTTTTTGAAGGATTGTTTTTAAGCTTGCTGATGTCCATTTTAAATACAGGGAAAAGTGCTGTGTATTAGAAGAGCCAGTGGTGATGCACATGGCCACGTTTGATTCCTGCCTCCATCCAAACCACCACAGGGCCCACGGAGGCCTTCCAGCATCCGTTAGAGCCTGGGGGTGCGCCCATGTGGGGTCCCTGGCTCTGCCCTCAACAGCTGGGGACTGCACTCCATCATCCCCTGTGCCTGAGATGAGACCCCCCACCTTCCCTGGCGGTTTCTTACCTGTAGACACCGGCCTGGGCCAGAATGTGCCCCACGGCTGGCCTGCATTCTCCATGCTGCCCCGGGGCCTGGTGCCCTCCTTGGTAGCCTGGGGTCTCCACGCTGGCACAGTAGTCTCATCAACCGACCGGGGCCTCCAGTCCCCCATGCTGGGCCTGGCCTTGGGGGCCTGGGCCATAGGCAACAAGCTGCCCAGCGAGGGGGAGATGTGGTCACTGCAGACAGAGGCACAGGACGTGGACAGGGAGCAGGATCCACCGTCGCTCATCTCGTAAAAGCCTGGACACAGCAGACAAGGCAGGTCAGTGACTCCCATCCAGAAGAGCCCAGGGACCCCTTTGCTCCTGAGCTTGTCACGGCACAGGGGGTCCCAGGGGAACCCCTGAGCTGAGGCTACCAGAGGCTGTGGGCCGTCGTCCACACGGCCGGCCTGGGAGAGTGTGGCTCAGGTGAAGATGCTCAGGATTCTTCTCGGGGGCTGTCAGTGAGTTGATGAGAGTCCGCTCCACCCCTACTCGGCAGCACTGGCCCTCCCTTTCCCTGTCAAGTGGTCCCTTTAGTCCTGGGTGGTTGATGCCTGCCTAAGGGGTGGCCTCTTCCTCTGGATTTCAGCCTGTTTAGGACAGGCCCCTGGCCCCTGTCTCTCTCTCTTCCCTGGCGCCTGCCAAGTTGAGAAGGAGACCAGGCTGGGGAGGTGCTTCAGCCCCAGGCCTCCTGAGTCCAACAATGTCACTTAGACCACAGTGTGATTTTTGCAAATTAAAAAAATAAGAGTGAGGTAGCCAATTAATATATATGCCCTGAGAAAGGCTTCGGTGTTGCCTCCTAACTTTCAGATCAGCCTGATGAAGCGGCCGCCTCCCTGCACGGACACCGGGAGAGCAGTGGGACGGAATTTCAGCCCGAGAGGGACTGGCGGGACAGGCGTGTTCACCTCTGCCTGGGCTGCATGCCTGCCCCTGTGTCCAGGAGGTCAGGGCACCCTGGTACCTGAGCTGGGCCTGCTGTCGCTGTCCAGGGCCTCCCCGGAGGCTGTGCCCACATCCAGCTGCAGCTTGCTGATCTGCAGGTCCAGCTGGTCCAGGTGGGTCTTCAGGCCGATGTCCTGCTGTCTCAGCCGGGACTGAGAAGGGAAAGAAGAGAAAGGGAACTATTGTACCTACGGAAACCAAAACTTAAGGCTCAAAGGGGTGAACCATGCATTGTGAATGTAATTTGAACTCCCAGAGTCCACACGAAACACATCTTCTAAATCCGGCTGCTGCCCCTGCTCATTCTGAAGCCATTTCCTTGCTCCACCGTCAGAAAAAGAAAGGTCTACTGACACCCATTCCCCCCACACACATACGCACACGGATTTTCTCCAGTTCAGGCTGCTTCACTTATCCGCACTTTCCAAATTACATTTCTTTATAAGGATACAGTATACTACAGCTTATGAGATTGAAATCAGGATCAAAAGCAACACCTCCTTTTGGCAGACAGGAACAACCTGCACCGTCTATTTGGCTGCGTTTTTCAGCCTGCATAAGGGTTTACCCTCCTGTGGTAATGCTTTGCGCATCTTGTGACTGGGTGCGGTGGCGTCCTTTTACTCGGCCGCCTCTGGGTTCCTGGTGCCTGCAGAGCACAAACCTTTTGACTTTTCAAGAAGGTAAGAAAGTCCCTTGGAAAGAAAGAAAAGCTCCTCCTTCACTAATAAGTCCCTTCCCCTTCCCTGATAGAAGAAGTAACATTTTGAAATGTTACAGGCTTTGGCAGAGCTACCAGGGGAGAAGGTTCTCAGCAAAACATGGAAACTGTCAGCTTTACCTGGAATAAATGCAGTGTGAAAATCAGCCTTCAGGATCTTTTGTTTTGTTTTGTTTTGTTTTGGAGACAGGGTCTTGTGCTGTTGCCCAGGCTGGAGTGCAGTGGTGCGATCACC